GCTTTGTATGCCTGTTGTGATCGGATTCGAACAAATTCGATTACAACCTATTTCAACTAGCATAACAAGATTATTCTCCTTAACTTGAGATATTTTTGAGGCCGTGTTGAAAGTTTAGTGCCACCTAAAATTGTAAATGACGCGTCTGTCATACATATATTCTGCGTCACTTGTCAGTTAATTTTTAGATGTGATAAAGAATGTACCAATGGAGCTCACTTTTGAGCAAACTCTCCCCTTATCTTTGTCTGTCGCGCGAGTGATAAGAATACACAGAAAAAAAGACAACTAATTGAAAAAAAAAAGTTAAGAAAACCTTGAGAAAGAAGTTATTTTTACTCCTGCGACGAGCTTACTTGGGAATGAAGGGGTACTATTTGCCTATGGCGCTGTGATTGGAGCGTTGTTGTCGCCTGGGCTCGATTCCCAGATCGCCAGGCTTGGGTCATGTAGGGTTGATTGTTTAATTGGTTCGTGTCCTTGCATCACGGGTTTTTCCCGAGGTTCTCCGGTCTTCTTCCCTCCACAATTACTAACACTCCAATTTCGTACTCTCTATTTGTCTTCTACCCATAATGAGACGTGAATGTCGTTCATCTTTGCAATTAGAGCCTTCGAAATTTATTGTTTTGTCATGTTTCTACGTAGATAGTGGAAGTTGTGTCGCTGATGGAGGACAGTATGGACAAACTTCAACAATACGGAGACGAACTGGGTGAAATCTGTGAGAAACACTTCCCTGATATCAAAAGAAAGATTCCCAAAACAAAACGACGACAAATGAGCGGTCTAGACAAGCTTAAAAATGCCAGTCAAAAGGAGGTACGTGTCCTAGGCGCTGAGAATTCTATCTCTCTATAATTGCTTTGTGGTTATAACTCGTACTCTGCATTATATAGTAATCCACCAGAGGCTGAACAAATTTGTTTTCGGTTTAGTATAGGTAACAACATGATTTGGAGTGCAATTTGGTGCTAATAAGCACAAGTCGATTTTTCAAAGTAGAACAAAACTGCACGAGCCCGTAGGCCGAGTTCAGTTTGTAGTCTTTTAAAAATTTACAAGTGCTTATTTACACTAAATTAAAGGAGAAATATAGTTGTTGCTTGTTAATAATTTACATGAAAAACGTATCACAGAGAGTCAAAACGGACGAGATTTTGGCAGCGCGCGCGCTATTTGTAATTGCGCTAGTGTTACAACTTTGCATTCGTGTTACATGAAAAATGCACACGTTTTCAGCCAATCAGACGCGCGTAATGTTTTCATGTTCATGATTACTGACAGGCATGGTTTGGTGTTACTCTGGTTTACAGATTTAATGAATGTAACCGAAGAAGTTACAATTCATTTGGGTCTATGAATTGTAACTTCTTCGGTTACATTCATTAAATCTGTAAACCAGAGTAGCATCAAACCATGTCTGATTGTCCACCTGGTTGCTGTGTGAACTTTAATATATATGATTACTGACCTTCGCTTGCTGTGATGCACGCTTTCTAGTACATTCTCATTGTTGTCTACGAGGTCATTAATAGTTACTCGCGCGTGCACGCTCGACGGACCTATATTTATCATGAAGGGAACTTCGGTCCTTCTGGTAGATCATGCATAACTCGAATCTCTTTGAACTTTTTCGTCATCCGATGCCATTTCTAATTTTCTAAAGTTCTTTCTTCATGCCAAATACGTATTAGAGGAATTTTGCTTTCCAGTGCATGGTGGTCATGGCGAATGGCAAAAGTTGAACTTCTTACCGTCTGCCTTCAGCCATTCGACACGTAAAATAATAATTTTTGTATCTCATACCTTGTGTAGGATTTATTTTCTATTTCTTGACAGTATTGATTGAAGGATTGGATGATAACAATAATGAAAAAATCCGAGTTTATTTTTTTCTTTTGCCGTTGCTGAAACAACGTTATGCCTAACCTCATTGATATTGAATTGAACTCGTGCTCAAAATATATCTGTCATTTATCTGCTTCTGATGAAAAATGTTCTGAATCTGGCTAAGTTTGGTTTTGATAAAAACGAGTTTCCCTTCTCGCAAATTTATGGTCCAGTCAGTTTTGATTTAGATTAATTTAGATTAATCGTAACGGACACGACTACCAACGAACTTCTGTCCAAATGTGTACAGGTCTGTCTTCATACAAAAACTAACACATCAGTTATGTCACTTTTTATTAATTTGGCGTCAATACTACTATGGAAGCCTTCTATATAGGGCGTAATTGTTTCAACTCGGCCAAAGAGGTTACCTTTCTGAAGAGCATTTTGCTTAAGGTGGAGACAACGAACATCTGATGGAATGGATACAGTTTTGAACACCCAGGGCTTTCATTTCATCGTATTCAATACGCTCCCCCTTGAAAGTCATTTTTTTTGTGTTTTTTTAAATACCTGTTTGTTATGAGTCAATTTTGGCAACGTGCAAAGCAACCTAATGAATTTAGCGTAAGTTTTCGAACCATGACATTGACAAGAGCTGTCGGTAAAATTTTACGTTTTTTTTTCGTCAGCCAATTCTCGGCATGATAGCCGGCTTTACCGACTTGACTTTTTTTCATTATCTCACGAGCACACGAACACATCCTGCTATTATCTATACTATTTACAGCCCCTTAACCTCGACCACACAAAGTCCTACATGTAGTCGTTTAGGCGTATTAGAGTCCTTTGAGGTGCGCCGGCGGTTTAGCCCAAAAAAATAACTGTTGCATTACGGCTTCGTACAAGGCTTCAACACTGAACGGTGTCCGTTCTCTTTACAGTTGTTATCCACACTGCAGACGTTGGAAAGCGACATGCAGACCTTACAGGACAATATACACAAGCTTCTAGATCTGATCGAGGATTTCAGCTATACGTGACTTCTAAGCGTAATCTTCTTACATCAAGCTAAAGAAACTAAGGTTTTGCAACATGTTGTTTTACGCGCCTTATAAGGTGGACTTGCTCCGCACTTGACCACTTTTAACTGATGATATAAATGCATTTAGACTTAGTGCAAAGAGTACGGGCCTTTGCCTCATTGGAGTTGTTGTCTAAAAGGGTTTAGAAATTTCTAGGTGGTGTAGTGAGCGTGCGAGTATGATTTTAATCCCTTCAATCAAAATCTTTAATTACGAAAGAAAAAAAAACTCTCGAAGATAAAGTCATTGGAAAATGTCCCCCATGGAGATGCTTGTTTCCGGTGCATATTTTATTAGATACGTTGCTTGTCCTTCAGAAGTCCGCCGAACAATCATCCATCATCTATCGCCCCTTTATGTGATTAACACCCACAGTACCCTCGGGTTCGTAGCTGAATGGAAAGTACTTCACAAAACACGTCAGATATTTAATCGTATGTAATTAACGGAAATTTTCCGCCATCAGCTTTTTTTACAACTTTTCACCCACTAATCGAAAAGAAAACCTTACCAACGCTACCCACTAATTGGTTGAATTAAGTTCACAGTCAAGGTAACCCAAGATTCCTGACATATTTTTAAGAACAAAGTAGGGCTCGGCGCACGGTTTTGTTTTGTTTTGTTTTTTTTTTGTTTGTTTTTTCTTTGTGTGCTGAATTTCTTAACTCTATGGTTTGTTTTCCTTTGTTTATCCAGTGTTCATAATAGCTAATCTTGGTCTAGACAATTCCAATTTTAGATTTACTGCTAATATTAACTTGATCAGCTTAGGTGTTCTTTTCTTTGAGATTGGAAAGGATAAAAAAAAAACCTCTAAAGCCACGTTACTTTGAGTTGATTCCACTACGGTTTGCCAAGTTGAGTCCAATCTGTTTTTGAACGCAGTCTAGCTGACGAAGAGTACTTACTTAGTTATATTGCAAACTGAACCAACACCCTTACTCAACTCTATTTCTCACAACATCGACCAACATTTAACTTCCCCAAACATTGTTAATACATTATCCAACAACATGCGATGAGAATTGACATGTTTAAAAAACTGTTTAACCAGACGGGGCCTTCTTGATACAACACCAAATTCTCCTAACTAATTTTTTTAGAAAGAATATGGCCGCTGTTAAGGAGATTTGCCGATCAAATCTTGGGAATCGCGTGGTTTAACGTGTCTTCTTAGAGTCGTGGATTATTCATAACTGCGCGATTATTTGTTGGTTGTAACTTACAACGCGTTTTGCCTCTAGAATAGTGCAACAGCGCTTTAAAATGTTCTTGACCCTTGTAATCAAACCTTAAATCCATTATTTCTGTAATGCTCGATTAAATTTCTCAGTTTCTGCTTGCACAATGTACCAAAACGCACCGATCCCTTGAAAGGAATGCCATTGCTTTTGGCGTTTTCGCGTGATTTCAAGTCCACCCTTGAAGAACAAAGACCAGAACTCGAGTGAATAATTTTTCAGGAAAGAATCTTGTTATGACGTCAACCAATCAAAGTCCAATGTCGCCAGCTTATAAATCCTGCCTATCCTGTTTGGGTTGGCCTACCCTGAAAGTTTTTCTTCGTCAAAATTTTGTACGTCAATTAACCAAGTGTTGGCCGTCAGTAACCCTGTAGGGAAGGATAAGCGCGTCAATTCGGTGTTGCTGGAGAGAAAACAAACAACTAAAGCTTTAAAAGAGTTATTCTAGAGTCAAAGTATCATATAATATATTTTATAATATAATTATTTCCAAAAATTAGTATTTTGCTTAGTTTGTTCCTAGTGTGTTATGTCCGTAACTTAAAGATGGGTGTTGAAAAACAAGTGCTTTTACGATACCAGGTGGGCTGTTTTAGAGTATTTTAAGATTGACAGTTTTTGAGAATTGATAAATATAATAAAGATTAACCGTTTTAATTTTAGCCGTTTGGGATATGATATTTGATAGTGGATTCGGATGCTTTGACTTAATGAAGCTCATTATATTTCCCGAGTCCTAGACGAAATGTCGTAAAGGTTATTCGTGAATAATGGTGTCTGTGATTGTTCCAGGGAGTGATTTAGTTTTTAAGTGGGGATAACATCCATTTTGTCCAACCGTGAATTTGAATTGACCGTGTAATATACGAATTTTGCACTTAGGTTAAAATAACATAAGCCACCCAACTAGAACAAAAAACCATCGCTTTATCTTGTCGGTTTACATCTCAATTACTTAGAATGGAAAACTGAGAAGCTACGAATGTAAGAGAGATTAATCCGCAATGCGAGTGATTAACACAAAGCAGGCATGTCTTTGCTGAAATAGGTTCCAGAAGGCGCTCTTGACTTTTATAGTCTGGTGTCGCTTTTGTCGCTGCTTGGAGAAGATCGCGGTTCATTTCGCCACGTACACAGTAGGAACAGTATTTAAGCTCAGGTGGTCAACATGGACATACGGTAAGGTGTATTGACTTGTCGCATCTCTTCTTTAAGAAATGGATAAGTTAGTGTTGTGTACATTTAGCTATGGCTTTTGCTAATGGCGAATTGGCTGTTCGCTCGATTTAATTGCTCTTCAAACAAAGCCCTTAGAAAGACGAGTGTGCAGAAGATCTCAGTTAAGTTTAAACAGTGATCGACAGAGATACCTCATTTATCATGTATTTTCCGAAAATTCAAGCTCCGTAGAGCACTGTTTTGTTTCGACTATTTCTATCGAATGTGTTTCCGTTGTTGAAAGGAGAGAACAAAAGCATATCTGAGTAACCGTGAGTCTGCCACGTTTTTGCATGATTTTACACAATCGAACCCCTTTATAAGCCATTATTACGGCTACCTAACAAATATCAGATGTGATTAAGCTGTTAGGCTCAAATCGTTAACGCTTAACCTTGCATAGAGGTAGTAACTATTCACTCGGCTTACTTCGAACTTGCACGGCCGGCGGCAAATGGGCGAAAACTCTTGGAACATGGAATGTCTGTTGGCGTGATCGCATAGTTTCTGTCAGCTGTAAGTTCCTTCTGGTGTAAGTCTATCCAATATCGATATGTCGTCGTATGATTTTGCAGGCTCAAACTGCAAGGCGTGCCTTCCGCAGAACAAAACTGCCCTTGGAATGTTATGAAAATACGTTTTCCTTACCTAATCGGATAGTTTTTTGTCTATACGATTTCGTAGGCGGCAGGTTAGGAAAATATTGCTAATAAAAGCACATTAAGCAAACTTGTTCCTCGTTGTTCGACCTTGGTGGACATGACGGTGCCGACTCAAAAAAAAAAAATCTAATGAGAGATGTAAAGTGCCGGTCATAAATCTTAACGCGTTTTATGAAAGCATTTAGCAAATGTTTAGGTGGTGTAATCCTCTTCCTTTAAATAACATTTTGTTTTCGATGTTGTTTTGATCGTGTGGTAAAGTCGAGACGAAACCCACAGTGTTGGCGCTGTGTAAGCAATGTTTTAGATGAGGAAAAATGAAGAATGCTTTCAGTGAATAATCGATGAATACAGCCTAACTTTCTTGAATTTAGCAGAGAAAAATCCTGTTAATGAAGATGGCGCTATGCGTTAACAGAAAATAAATTGGATTTGTTCCTGATATCCACGCTAATGCAAGGCCTGGCGAGATGTGGGAGGGTAATGAAAGGTGGTGGCTTGTTATCACTTACTGGGAAGCTTTGTCTCGAAGCCAAACCAACACTATTTTCGAAGGACATCGCTTTAAAGAAAGTGATATGCTTCACTTAAGTTCTCGACTGCATGTTGCTGCAAAACTGAAGTGGAGAATGAACCGTCTTCGTTTATCACTGAACACTGAAACTAACCTCTTTCTCGTATAGTCAATGGATTTGCTATCGGATAGACTGTGCCTTTCCACAAATATTTCATGAAATTGCAAAAATATCTTTAAAACTTTTCCTGATAACACGAGTTCATTCCAGATATCGTGCAAAACCTTTTAAATATCTCACGTTTGTCTGAAAATTCCCTTTCGCTGGCAAAAACTTTTCACTTCTAGGAGGGGAAATAGTGTCAAAGATTGTTCACGCGAGTATTGGGGAAATATAAACAGTATGTAATACTATTAAACCAGCATATATGCAATGCTTTATTTCTGATCAACAATGGATTAATCAGTTGGTAAGTTTTGCGACAATTCTGGCAAAAAGCTGATAATATTTTTCAATAACATAGCGCGGATAACCTACAAACCTACTTTAAATGTTTATTAACACCCCTGAATTTTCCAAATATCTCGTCAACCTCTCAAAATCCCAAAGAGGAAGGCTTAAAATAGACAGTCTCTAAAACCCAATAAAAAGTCCTGAAATCCCTACTTTGTAAACTACCGCCAGCTTGGTTCCCTTTCGGGTGACACATCGTCTCAAAAAGGAAAGAACACCCTCTCCCGCGTGGAGAGATGTGAATAGAATACCTCAAAAGTCATTACCCTTTTAATTAAGGCTTAAAGTTACATGCGTTTGTACGCAATAATGTAGCGTGAGATTAAAATAAACCATGCACGCATTTTGGAAAAGTTCCATGAAGTGGCTATCATTGAAATGTGATTTGCTCATGAGTTCCGGCATAAATGCTCTATCTTGTAAACTCAAACTGACAGCAGTATAGAAATGTAGCTCAATCTGTGATCTTGGAAATCATTCTTAATTGCTGAATAACGGAATTAGACTAAACGAAACCAAGAAACATAGGCACGCTACGCGTACAAAATACGTTTATTTATTTATTCATTATATTTTTTGATAATAACGTGTCATTTAAGTCCTTATCTGATTACTTAAACTGTCTTTTACATAATAAATATTATAAAGAGGACGTCTAAAAGAATTAAATGGATACTCTTCTGTCTACAGTCATCATAACATTGCTTGATGGATCGTGTACAAGTATAATTTTGTTGAAATAAAATGTCGGGAATTGAGATTATACCATCATTCTTTGTTGACCCTGTCACCTATACCATATCAATCGTTGAATATATAAGTACATGTAGCGTGCTTTATTTTTCATATTGGAAAAGGCGTCTACATTTTAGAAGCCTTCATTTCCAGTGAGCGCGAGCAATAGTGTAAGTATGGTGTTGTTCCGTTTTGGTTAATTATCGCTGATATAATCCACACAACCTTCAAGTTTCTACATAAAAATCGTTGGAGTTGGTTCCAGATCGTCGTAACATGTCGTTAGTGAATCTTAGCCTTTGACTGATACTGTTGGAAAGGTTGGACACACAACGAAGAGGCAAGCTTGAACGGAACGGTTACAATCATGATAGTTCAGGACAGAGAAAGTTAACTCACCTGCAAATGACAAACCAGAAAATTTAAGAGATATTTCTCGACTAAGACAAACCTTGACGTTTCTCATGATCATCAAAGAAGTTGGCATTTCCAGATTACGTGCTATTGGTAAAATCTGGTTCCATTTTCCTGTGGACTACAGCATTCATTAGTATGTGGAGAGCTTTTGGTTTATTTTTCATATGACCGCTGTTAATCGACGTCCAAAACTAAAATGGGTTACAGCTCCACTGGTAATCTGAAATATCGCTATACTGCAGGGAAATTGTCCATCTTAGAACTTCGTCAGTGATTGAATATCCGATAGTTAGCAAGACTTTATCAGTCATCACCATGCATGGTTAAAGGAAATTCTTTAATCATTCTAACCTCATAATGAGAAATCCTTCAGGGAAAACCACTCGAGCTTCCGTAAATCTGAAACAAATCCAATTTGCAGTGTGCATAGGGGATCATTGTAAGAGCCAACTGTCCAACTGCAGTCCTTTTAACAGTTTCATGGCATGAAGTGGCTTAGGGCATAGCTTACTGTACTGGCGCCCGCTTCTCGAAAGTCCCGCCGGGTAACTGGACGTAGCCGTATTCAAAGAATAGAAAAGCAGGTTCTGACATCCTAAACAGTCCATTTCGTTGCTTTAGCTAATAGTTTTATTGTATAATTTTCAAATATTTGAAACCCCTATCGTGAATGAAAACAATACAACTTCACGGGCCAGTTAAGTTCTTAGGATCTTTCAGAAACGGACCAGAGGACGAAATCCAGTTTATCGCTGGTTACCCAGCAGAATTTCGCTAATTTTCCCAATCAGAATTTTAGACCCCTTTATGATTTTGGCTGGGTGAAGTGAACCACTGTAATAGAGTCTGATTCGATTCAGAGTCTAAAGTTCTGTTTGGAGGGTTTGGATTAAAATTCTTCCTTGAGCCACACCCTAAGGTCAGAAACCTGTAGACCCTTCCTCCTCTTTATAACGCGAAAGTTGCTGTCTTTATGCTGTATTTTTAATATAAAAGATCTTGAAACCAAATTGTAGCTGGCAGTCTTCAGAATATATCCCACATACGTTCTAAGATTTTTAGTCACTCTTAAAACATGAAGGGGATAAAATTTCCTTGAAGCAATTCAACAAGATCAAAACAAGAATTAAATCAGTTATCTGATGATAACAGAATTGGACATAAGACGATTAGAAAAGTTAACTCTAAATTTGTTTAGTACTTCAACGGTTGCTTGAACCTTGAACTTAAATATCCTGTATACTGCATTGTGTCGTCGTCCCTGAAGCGATCCACAGTTTTATTTTTTATCAACCATGAAGGGTTGTGGAGAAAAAATTTAACTAAACTTTCGCAGTGTCGCAGTTTGATCTGGTGGTTATCGATGATAACATTCATTCACTGGATCTTCATACTTCTTGGCAGTTAACGAACGAACAGAAGAAAATAATGAACCGGAATCGATTTAATGTAGGATAGGCACGTCGGAAGGAATTATTACAAAACTTTGATTATTAAATTAAAAGTTAGTGGATATCTTAGCACGCAGAGCTGTTGTACGGTATTTGAGTAACTTCCATGGGTCCTTGGAAATTTTCGTCGGCTGGAAAAAGAATTCTATATAATAGCTGTAGTTTGCCAAGAGGAAAAACCCTGAAGTGGAGGAAAAAACTAAAAAGAGAACGAAGATGGTTAGGAATAGAGAAGGTGAACACGGATTAAAAATGATGAACTTGAGGGAAACAGGAGAAATTTTTATACTGCACAAGTTGTGACGCAGTTTCTTCAAAAGTGTATCAAACACGAAATGGATTTCTCCTTGCTTGAATTGTGAAACATCACCTTGCCTTTTTATGGTTCTACCAGGGACGTAAACGGAGGGACATAAAACTTCCTCTCAACTTCAAACTGAAGAAGATTTACAACGTTCGTAGAGAACAATACTTGAGGAATAAAAAATTTTGCAGGTTTGCAGAAAATGTGTGCAGGATCTTATCTAAATGTGACAGTTACAACGATCAGTTGAAATAATCTTCGTGCATAATGTTCACAGGGCAAATGTTTTTCCAGAATAGGAGTTGCTTTGTCGAGCGAGGACCATCGTGATAAAATGTATTGAATGTAAAGCGTTTCCGTGTCT